CCGTGCAAAAGTAAAAAGCATAAAATGAGCGTTAGAGCGCTTAAGTCTTCTCCAGACTTCGCGAACTTTAAATAAAGACAAGTTAGACACATACGTGGAGCAACAAACGACCACACAGACTCACACCGACACACATACCCAGAACCCATCAAGCTTATCTATCTTAGTCATCATCGAGCGACACCACAAACATTCTGCGTGACACGACACACACAACAGCCACACACCACACAACACACCACCACACAACACTGAGGTCACTACAGAGTCCACGTTCATCACACAAGGGTCCCACCTAAAATTAAACTACGTCTAAAGAGACGGACTTTGGTAAGACACAAAACAACGCTCGGTTACCCCCCCAAGAGTTTGAAAGTTATATTTAACTCAGAGTAAAACGAAGAGCCTCGAAACACCCGGCATCCAATCGAGAGGTGCGAGTTGTAAGTTGTTTGCCAAGTGAACCAACGAGACGACGAGCTATCTTAGCTGAGATATTCGCTCGCTGCGTCGATAAGATCGTATGGATTAACGAGGAAGGGGGGGTTGGTGTGTCAAAAGAAGTAGGAATGGGAGTAGCTTTTTAGTGTGAGTCAGACAAAGATAAAGAAGGTTGCGGTTGCTGGTGGTGAGTGGACCCTTGTGACGTTATGGAATTGGAATTAGCGCGTGACTACAGGTCAGGGTGAAGGTCTGTAGCGCCCATAACAGGGACCCCAGAGAAAATTACGAAGCAGAAGGAAAATGCAACTAAATATAAAAAAACTCCCGGTGCTCAGACCCCCAAACGACTCCTAGCCTGAGTTCACTCGCGCCCGCCTGCCCTGACTTGGAGAGCATACGTTGTTGCTACTTCGGGGCGACCAGTGCGCCGCAGTAGAGACAGAATGAGTAAGCATTATTATTCTGGTAGGACACTCCACCACAACATAACAACAATCCATTAAAGGAAACAACCTTCAGGCGAACCTCGTAGGGAGCTCTCATTGAGTTAAAGTAAAGACTAGTAACAACGAAGCAGAGAGTGTAGGTAGATAATGTCTAACGGTGCAAGCTTATGGAGATAATATACAGGATTCTTATATCCCCCTCACTCTTGAACTCGTTCACAGCAGCTTGAGGGGGTACCCCGGCGAACCTGACAGCTTTTACAAATACACACCACCACAAACACACAACACACACACACACACACACACACACACACACACACACACACACACACACACACACACACACACACACACACACACACACACACACACACTACAACACACACAACACACACACACACCAACACGCACGCACGCACGGCACAAACTGTCCTTTAGGAGGTGTATACACAATGGCAGAAGGACGTGGCGATGTACTATGTAAGAGTTGAATAGAAGCGCTGTTAAAAGGGAAATACTAAAATGAAGGTTCATGACATTAGTATTACTTACTTTTATTTGTCTCAATTTTTGACCGAATAATAAAGTAAACAGCCTACCTTCTTTTTCAGTAGTCTTGTAAATGGCAAAACTAGAACCGACCCGTCTTCTTTTTCTTCGTCTTGATAGCTTTTTCGGGCGTAGCACCGGCTTTCCTAAACTAGACGGGCGACAGTTCCACGCTTGGAAAAATGAACGTCCAAGCTTATGTGACTAACGGACGGATAAAAGAAGTGAAAGGTTGCGTGCAGGAGGCCCTCACGATAAACGGTTGTACGTTGTTTGTATGTAGTACGAATTCGATGCATACGACGAAATCCTGTATGCAAATATTAAGGAGGAGAAGGAGGTACAGGAGGGGTAGGTAAAATTCGTAGAAAATATCTTGGATATATGAACGTAATGTAATAGGACACAGTCACACCGCTACGTCAACCAACAATACTGTACACATAGTAAAGTTTACATAAAAGATTAATAACAAGTCGAAATAAACAGATAAACCTATAACCGCGGTGTTTATGTTATGAAAATTGTACCTCATCCTTTTCCCCAATAAATGATGTCAAAAAAATACTCAAATCGACCTAAACCTTGTTTAAAATCAATTCCACATACGTAATGGCAGAAATGGTGGCTTGTCCGGGGGGTAGTCAGCCCTGCCCCGTTTCCGTTTGGACGTAGGACGTTGTAACGGGACGCCAATCACTTTGACCGGTCCGGAACGTAGGTCATAGTCCTGAAAAGGGTGGTCGTATACGATCTCGCACCTATTTCACTTGGGCGATCCCCTAAAAGAAAATCTGGAAATTTCGATGTAAAAACCGAACGGAGACAGTGTAAAAACAACCACAGGCGAGTTTTTACAATCCAGAGCCAGTAAAAAGAACTAAAATCAAGTAAAAAACAGAACAGAAGTGAAGGACAAAATAAAACTGTGAGGGACAACTACAAAGTAAGGTCCCGAATTGAACTGAAGGGATAGGAAACACACAAGAGGGCGAGAGTAGTCGTGGTCGGGGCCGGGGGGGACTAACAAAGGTGGACACTCGGATCAATGTAAGACAATATATAAGGGGTCCCACAGGGGAACTAGGACACAGTCAATGCAGAACAGGTATAGAGGTACGGTCACAGTCAGGCATGGTCGCATGGTCGGCTGATCAATAAAACAGAGTTCTGGATTAAATACGAGAGCTAGTAAAATAGGCAAAACAAGGAGTGAAAACCCACCTCGCTAAAAAAGAAAAACCCCGGAAAAAAATTTGGAAAACAGTGGACGCAGTTCTAACAGCGCTAGGAACTTAAACATGTAGGATAAAAACCCCTTATTTCATGAAAAACGTATGTAAGTGCTCAATGACGTAAATCTCGGAACCGATGGAACACAAAGGTTCCGAATACACCGTTAAAATTTCGGGTGATAAAGTAAGCATGTGTGTCTTTGTAATACACTGACAATTTGGTTAAAAACTGTACGTCACTTTATAACTCCTTGTAATTCGGGAACCACGTAAAAGGGGATGAGAGACTTTAATCATAGTTATACTTTTGTGTGGATAAGGTATTGGCGTGAAAACGATTGACGTCGTACGTAAATCTGGCAATTATCATACAAAACATAATTAGATTAACTTGAAGTGGTGATGCAAATATGAAATTAACTATAAATGACATGAGGTGTATTACCGGGTTTTCGCAAAAAATAAATAAATATTATTACTAATTAGGTGAAATAAATATATCGTTGGAGCAAGTCTTGACGAAAATTAGACATTATAAACAAAATTCCACACGACAAATTTAATACAAAAATAAATAAAACAATGACGTTACACAGCAGAACTAAAGATCTATTCGCGAGAAAATTTATCTTACCGTAATAAAATAATAATAATCGACCACAACACACATATATCACAGAAGAAGTGTGTTAAAAACAATGAAATAAATAAATTAACTTGCGTTTTAACCTAACAGGAAATAAATAAGTTATTTAAAATATTTAAAAAATATATAAATATGATATATATAACATGTTGATGTTCTATATAGCTCACTGAAGCTATATGAACCTTAGCAAACCATAGTGAAGGCCCTATGACATCGCTAAGAAGCTATTCCAGGTTCCAAGATATGAATGCCATCCCATTAGACTATAAATAAGATAATGTAATATAATAGATTAAAAATGAAACAGTCCTACTATTGGTAAATCACGTACATTATGGAGAATAACCATTCAGGAAAGAGAAAAGGTTGTAAATGATAGTGTTCCTAATATTATATTATATGTTATTTATTTATTTCCTATTTTCCTAAAAAATGGCAAAGGGCAGCACTTGAAACGCTGTTTGCATACGTGTCTGGCATACAGCAGTATACCAAGACGATAAGACACGTTGTATGACACTTTACTTGAAGATATGAGTGTGGTGTCTTCTGACATCAACACTCATATCTGAGGTTGGAAACTGTGGTTACTGAGGTTCAGCTAGTTTGTCACACAAGTCAAAGAAATGTTTGATTAGGCTGTGTCAAGGGAGGCACACATGAACCATGTCCTCATTAGTTCATCTAAATAATGATGAATAAATACGACCATTTGATAAAAAACTAAATCCAATTCAAAATATTGTAGTATTTGTTTCCTATGGTAACGGTCTTCAACAGGGTACACAAAATGGTATTTAAGTCATTATGAGAAATGCAAAATATATTTCTAGTGATAGTTAGTTATCAAAACAGTGATACTTGATTCTTTAAACGGCAGTTTTATATTGGCATTTACTGCAGTTTCAACAGGAGAATTTGAATTTTTTTTAACATAACTGAGGAACTCAGTTACATGTTAGAGCGTTTCTGTCTACTATGTGTTGCATTACACTAAAACACATTATGTCTTCAATGAAGCTCTTGTTCACATACATGTGATGTAAACTAGTGAAAAGAGGAAAGAGAAATAATTCTTTCAACAATTTGCAAGAGTTAAATCTAAGCACTCACATTAAAATAAAACACAAGTTTGTAAGAATTCTCGACACACACACACACACACACACACACACACACACACACACACACACACACACACACACACACACACTTTTGTCTCTATCACTTTAATGAATATGGGTATCTTACAGTTTAATTTTACTGGTCTACCAACAAAATTGCTCATGAAAACAAGACATGCCAATATGGACTGTCACACACACACACACACACACACACACACACACACACACACACACACACACACACACACACATTCTGACAGAGGCTGCAATGTACCAGGGGTGGAACCAGGAAATGTCAATTTGTAGCTTTTTTTTCAAAATGTCTACCTTTGCTAAACAACTTGTGGGCGTTGTGGGTCTCAATATGGCGGTTGTCTTTAACACTAAAAGTTTCTTGCATCTATTATGAAAGCCTGTTTTGAACATGCAAGTTACACGTGTTTTGTAATCCAACCATCCTTTTACGAAAAGCTCAACAGACTGTTAGCAAACACACTGAAGCAATAAAGACCACAAAGTAAGTAATATCTTCACTTCTCTAAAAACTAGACCTTTAGTGGAAGGTGTGGATTTGAGCAGAGACCATGGCAACCAGCTCCCTACTACTGCTGCTCTTCATCTTTAATGGTAAGATGAGGCATATAAATCAGCATTGGCTGCCAACTGAGAGCAATTTGGATAAACACAGGCGATTAATGAATTGTGATTTTGTATTTCAGGGGCTGATGGTTCTTATATTGTTGGAGGAAGAGAAGCTGCCCCTAATTCTCGACCGTACATGGCCTCGCTGCAAGTCCGAGGACGCCACCTCTGTGGGGGGGCCCTGGTGAGAGGGGACTTTGTGCTCACAGCAGCACATTGTGAGATACCCATGTAAGATTACAAAAAACAGTCAGAGATGTTTCTGTTATTTTGTGTTTTTTCATATCAGGTCAATTTAGTAGAAATACAAACTTACAGGGACATTTAATTCGTCAGACCGAAATAATTTATTCCAGCAAACATTTTTACATATTACATATTTGTCAAAGTAAGGCTTAGTTACAAGCAGGATATGTTTTAGGGGATGCACTCTTTGACAATGTTTTACTTTAGTGAATACCGTTCTTCTTTAAAGTCAGCAAGGTGATTGTGTACTTAATAAATGAATGGAAAGTGCTGATTTGTAGGACAACTAGAAAACATAAATTCTTCTTAGAAGTGGTCAATTTGTTGTTTTCTTTTATGTAATGATATTTTCAATGTTGAAAATAATGTCAATCTCAAGAGAGATTATTTGAACTCTTAACATCATATTGAATGCCTATCCATCATTTTATTGTGATTTCTAGACCATATACAGTCGTGCTTGGAGCTAATTCCCTGACCGCTAATGAGCCTACAAAGCAGGAGTTCACTGTAGTTAGATCCATTCCACATCCCAACTATGATGGACATGGTAATGATATTATGCTTTTAAAGGTAAGGATTACATAGTCAGTGAATCAGATTATTAAAGGGAAATTCAGGTTTAGATGTACGTATTTCTTTATCAATTGAATTGTTCTTGTCTCAGCTCAATGGAAGTGCACAACTGACGGACTCCGTGCAGCTGATCTCTCCGAAAAGAGGCAGGCTGAGTACTTCCAGTCAGTGCATCACAGCTGGCTGGGGGGATGTAGGGGACAATGGCACCTTACCGAACAGGCTTCAGGAAGTTAACGTAACCATCCTGCCACAGCGGGAGTGTATTAGAAGGTGGAGAACTGTTCCCATCACCAGGAGCATGGTTTGTGGCATTGGAGCCGGTGTCTTTCAAGGCTTCTGCTCGGTAAGAGAATACGCTTAAAAAGCAAACCTTTCAAAGAGTTCGCTTCAATATGTTAAAATAAACATTACATTTGTTAATAATATCTTTGTTTTTAGTTTCAAAATGATGCCACTGTAGCGAAGGACATAATTACTGAGAACAAAAACATATCTCAGGATGTTTCATACAAACTACACAATTTGTGAAGGGTCTCTTATCATTTCTGTTTAAGGGGGATTCAGGTGGTCCGTTGGTGTGTGATGGAGCTGCAGCAGGCGTCGTCTCCTTCTCTGGTCGGAGATGCGGAGACCCCAGGACTCCTGATGTCTACACACGCATTTCAACCTTCAGGGGTTGGATAGCAAGAGTGTTAAACAAGAATTAGGCAAATTAGGTATAATGGTTATGTGTCAATATGCTTGATGCAAATGTAAGACAACGCTCTTTATAATGAGGTATCATGTGCCATGCAGTGCTGTGGCTGTTGAGATAGGATGATAAAGGAAGTTTTTCCCCCCCACTGTTGTTGCCTTTTGTTTCTGTTATGCATCATGCCTTTGAATAAGTCAGGAATTTTGTTTTTTCGTCATCAAATAAAAAAAATATACTGGCCTGCAACAAAGTGAAAATGAGTGTAGTCAATCCCACAGCACTACTTTTTGAATTGTCAAACAGTGACACCACCAGGAAATCATGAACTCTGTCATTACAGCTTTAGAAAAAAAATGTAGTACTAACATTAGTAGCCTAATGACAATAGGTTCAGGATATATCATGTTGAATTTGTTTTTAAAAAAAGGGCGTATTTCACGAACGTTTTCACAGATAAAGTATGAACACCTCACTTTGAGACATCATTAAAGTCAGTGGCACAGCTGATTTTACCATTGATTTGCCCATGCTCACTAACCCTGCCCTAAATGCTAGGCAAGAGGTCATTGTAGCTGTCTAACGACCCTGTAGATTACTGGAACAATTGTATTGCAGGTATTCAGTTCATAATTCAAGATACATTTAAAATGTGATCATTACGGCCCTTGCACCATATTTCACAACAGTGCAATGTATTTAACATGTGGATCAAACTTGATTTGCTAATTGTTGTGAAAGACCTAAAGTTGCATTTACATGTTAAAGAAAGAGTATGCTTGGCAATACAGTCCAAACACCACATTTTATGCTAATGTTGCTTTTCTAACTTTAAAATCTCCTTAACGTTCTCTGCCCCTTTAAGTCAAATTATTGGCGAGTCTTGCGTCACAGAAAATTCCGACCTCACTCTCCTGCTGTGGTTTGTTGCTGTGTACCTTTTCATGTCTATCATGCGCTATAATACCGTAATGACGCTATTTCCGAAAACACTCGAACGCAGCATGCAGCACAACACCTGTGTAACTCCGGTTGTTAAAAAAAGTCCACATCATTGTCATTAAAACACAATTTCCCAGCGTTCATTGCGCGAGTGTTGCTGTCTTTCTCTGTGGTCGTGGCAACCGAAGGCTCCCTGGGAACTAGAGTCTCGTCTCCGCATCTCCCATTTTCCACAGGTTTCGCGAGATTTACATAGGCGGGCTGGTGTGTGGCAGCATTTCCCTGCCAGACGAACTGAACAATACTGATATGAAATCTGCGTAAAGGTAATGGAGAGATGTTACGTGGGGAGAAAATGGGCTGTAACCACCCAGTTGTTGCTGGTGTGTGATACCTGGTTTCAGGAACACGGGTTTAGCTAGCTGCCTTCACATCTGCATTGAGGGAGAGCTAGCTTTATTGATAACGTACAGTGAGGTGTAGGTGTGTTGGATTAAGTCCAGGACAGGTGGTATACGGCATGCCTTATAACGTGGTTTATAGTACTCACCTCAATATATTGTTCATGTATGCTGCTATTATTCAAGTTATTTACAGTCACATGTAACCGGCTAACGTTGTATACTGTAATATGTCAGCTACAGTGAAATGGCTGACATATTGAAGTTGTGTCTGCCAGATTGTGTTTTAAATCCTTAACGGAGGTGAAGTTGTGTAAGAAATATGATCAAGTCTCGCACCAGATATGACCTCCATGTCTGTGTAGTTAGAGTAAATACCCAGGAAGTTATTCCTGCTTGCTAATCTATTGGCTGCTGCAGTTGTCAGTCTCTGTTGAGCAGCCTGCAGTCTGTCACAGGTTTCTGTAGAGAGGACAGCCTCTTAGCTGGAGCAGAGGCCTTCCTCATGCTGTTATATAGGTTATATACAGGACATAGAGGTATGGCAGCTGTCATACTCTCTCATAATCACTGAAACGTGTCCCTGTCTTTCTCTTTATCAGTAGCCTTTGACTTTCTGGAGGCATGTCCAAGAAAAGAGGCAGGTATGTTGAAACAAAGCTATGTCATCACATGAGGCCATTAATGGTTGTTTTAAAATATAGTTTAATAGTTATTAGAGGTGGTTTTATAACATAATGTAAATGGTAAAAAAATCCCACTGCATTCAAATAAACAGCTGTATACAAAACAACAGAGTATTTTTTAATGGCGACAACAGACGCACAGCCCTTAATATTCCTATTTTCTCAGAAAGCGGAGTAGCGGGGAGCTGAGTGACACATTGACCCCGGATCCCAACAGCATTTTGGGAGTCCGCATTCAGCATAACTGGCGTGAGAAGGGGAACCAGAGCAAATGGAAGGGAACGGTACTGGACAGGCTGAGTGTGAACACTTCTCTCTTCATGGTGAAGTATGACGGCTTCGACTGCGTCTATGGCATCGAGCTGTTCAAGGACGAGAGAGTGTCGAACCTGCAGGTCCTGTCAGAAAAAGTTGGTGAGTTACCACACCTCTCGTTAATCTGCACCGTGTAGTTTTAGACTTATTAACAAAGAGAAACATTTGTCATATAATGAAGATGCTATTCACGTTTACCTGCAGTTTGGTAACAAATTGCCATGTTTCTCACTTTTAATGTTTACATCGTTTGTGGCTGTGTCTCCAAAGTAAACAACAAGATCAAGATGCCACCAGGGGCGGAGGAGCTGGTGGGCAAAGCTGTGGAGCATCTGTTTGAAAAGGAGGATGGAGAGAAGAACGAGTGGAGAGGCATGGTCCTCTCCAGAGCTCCCATCATGACCAACTGGTATTATATCACTTATGAAAAGGACCCCGTGCTTTATATGTACCAGCTGTGGGATGACTATGCTGACGGAGACCTCAGGATTCTGCCTGAAGCAGGTACTGGGGATTTTTTTTGAACAAAGACCGATTGATACTCAACAAGGCTTTCTTAAGTCTTCAATAACTGTGTCCTAAAGCTTTATAAACCAAGATCTGCTATGTGATGGAAATTCATTTTCTACGTTGGAGGACTGTTTAAACTTATTTGACATGGATAGCATGTGAGTTCATGGTTGTCTTAGAAGTCTGTATTTATCAATAGTATTCATCAAATAATTATACTCGTAATAGTAAACAGGCTAAAGTACATCATTTCAAGTTACGCTTGGAGTTGTGTTTGGAGATAAGAGATATATTGTGTCTGAGGTCGAATGCTATCCAATCTGAATATTGAACACATTTTAAAAGCTCATATTGTTTGTTATTTTAAAGATGTGTTGCCATCATTATTTATATTATAGAGATTACAAGCTTAAAAGTTATCTAAAAAAAAGTTTAAAGTTGTCTAAAAAGAAATTAAGACTGGAATGGGAAAATTGGGATGTATACTTCTTATGACAGTTATCACATCCTATTATTTTTATGAATAAGATTTTGGGATAGATCTTTTCTAGAATAATAAAGAACTCTTGGTTTTAATCATTTTCAGTGCACATTTTGCTTGAAAAACAAACCACTGTGTGTTGTATCCACTTTGAGATACTTTAAGTAGGCCGTGTTTGGTGAGTTACACACAAGCAAATATCAAACTAACTTGGACTTACTCACATGTAACGCTGTAATGTTTCACTCCTCAGAAAACAAACACCTGTTGCCTGCAGACAGGAAGCCCGGAGAAGAGACGGAGAGTCTGGTGGGGAAACAGGTGGAGTATGTTACTGACAAAGGTGTGAAGAGAACAGGCCTGGTCATCTACCAGGTCCCAGCCAAGCCCTCTGTCTACTATATCAAATATGATGATGACTTTCATATCCATGTCTATGACCTGGTGAAAACCACCTAGGCATAGTGGACACTTGATCTCACTCTCCAGCCTCCCTCCATCTGCGTCTGTTCCACTCATCGTTATAATCTGTTATCCAAAGCCATGGCAGGGTTGAATAGTTAAAACGCTTTATTGTTCAGAAGAAAGTGCAATCTGTTTTTCATATGCACAGCAGAACTGTAGCACCGCTATGCTCGGCTATCGCAAGGAGATGGAGTCAACTTGTTTTTATTGTTGCTGCTCTGCATTTTTATTTAAGGTTGGACAGTTCAGGATGGCCCAACAGCTGCAAAGAGGGCAGTTGATTTCTGCATTTGGTTTTGTTTTTCCTTGAGATGTTCGCTAATCTGTCCTTGGAGTAATTATCCTAATTAAATCAAAGTGTGACTAAAGAGCTGCTCAAAATATTCCTATGAAGACACTTTTCTTTGGATCTACTAAATAGCTAGTAAGCACGATATACACATGACGTTTGGGATAGACACATTCCACTGAGGCATTTATTCAATGAAATGGGCAGATGAATATGTGTATTGTAATCATGTAACAATAGTATACAATTATTGTTAATAATGGGAGGAATGGCTGATATCAGCATTTTAAAAGGGGTCCCTTATATTTACAAAAGCCTTTTAGATGAATTATGCTTTGTATAAAGATTCTCCTGCACCGTTGCACCATATTTAGCAAGTTGTAAGATACTTTGCACTGGTGGAGAACACACAGTTTGCCAAATTCTCATATCAATTAGATCCCACACAAATCATAAAGTGCCTTCCGGCTTGTCATTTTTGCAATATTGTAAATACTATATCTCCACCATCTACGCCCTTATTAAATCTTTGCGTATGAAGGCTGCTATTTGGATTTCATTCAGATGTAAGGACACTGACAGCTTGAGGAAAGTTTTGCAACCATCAGTTTATGAGTGCTGTGTTTTGCTGTTAATGCAGTATCAAATGTTCTTTAAATATTACACACTTCATTGGTTGTATAAGCTCACTGTTGATCTTCGGGGAGCACTTTATTGTATAAAGTTTACATGTTTAGGTTATAGTACGCTATATACTGTTGTGGTCAAAAGTTTACATACACTTGTAAAGAACATGTATTTCATGAAAGCCTTGACTTTTCAATCATTTCTACAACTCTTATTTTTCTGTGACAGTAATTGGAGCACATACAAAAAATCATGACGTTTGGTTCTTTTATTAATTTATAATGGGTTTTCTGAAAATGTGATCAAATCTGTTGGGTCAAAAATATACATACAGCAACATGAATTATCAATTTTTGGGATGCAGACAGTTGTTTTAATCAAATGAACTTTGTGACATGGCCTCTTAACTTTGTGTGAGTGATTATAATTGACTATAGCAGGTAACCCATTGAAATAGGGTTCATATGATACAATCGTTAGACTCATCCACATCACTACAATGGAAAGGTCAAAGGAGCCTCAACATGGATCTGAAAAAGTGGATCATTGGACTTCAATAAGTCAGGAAAGTCACTTGTAGCCATTTCAAAGCAGCTACAGGTCCCAAGATCAACTGTGCACACAGTTGATTGTAGGTATAAAGTGCATGGCACAGTTGCGTCACTGCCATGATCAGGAAGAAAAACGCAAGCCGTCACCTGCTACGGAGAGAAAAATGGTCAGGATGGTCAAGAGTCAACAGAGTACCATTAAAAAAACAGGTCTGCAATGAATTAGAAGCTGCTGGAACACAGGTGTCAGTGTCCACAGTCAAGCGTGTTTCACATCACTATGGGCTGAGAGGCTGCCGTGCAGGAAGGAAGCGGCACATTGAGGCTCGACTGAAGTTTGCTGCTGATCAAATGGACGAAGAAAAGGCCTTCTGGAGTAAAGTTCTGGGGTCAGAGGAAACTCAAATGTATCTGTTTGGCCACAATTATCAGAAATATGTTTGGAGGAGAGAAAGTGAGGCCTTTAACACCAACATCGCTATGCCTACCGTCAAGCATGGTGGTGCTACTATTATGCGCTGAGCATGTTTTGCTGCCAATGGAACTGGTGTTTTTCCTAAAGTCAATGGAATAATGAAGAAAGGATTACCTCCAAATGATTTAGGAGAACCTAAAATCATCAGCCAGAAGGTTGGGTCTTGGGCGCAGTTGAGTGCTCCAACAGGACAATGACCACAGACACACAAANGTGGCAAGTATATGCCACAGCCACAACTTGCCGTGGCAAGTATATGCCACAATCATGCCACAACTTGCCGTGGCAAGTATATGCCACAACTTATGTATGCCACAACTTGCCGTGGCAAGTATATGCCACAACTTGCCGTGGCAAGTAAATGCCACAAATTAAGAGTTAAGAGAAGGTTTACGGTAGCTGCCACTCGCCTTCCGTGGCAAATGCAGGAGCTCCAACAATCCGTTTAGGACAGAGAGTGAATACACATACTATACAGAGATGCTGTATGAGAAACCAATGTGAGTTTGGAAAATTGCACAATATAAATGTATTCTAGTATACCTCAACAATGGAATTATGATCAGTAGAAATGGCCATGACATGGGCCCTTTAAGAATGACTGCCTTCGCCTCGATCTTTATTCTGTCCCGAGCCTTACCTTTACCTCTGTGTGAACTGCCACGTGTGACGGTGGCCTTGGTTTACCTGGGAGACGACTGACAGCTGTTGGAATTAGAGCGAGGAGTGACACGGGCAATTAAAGGGCTGGATCCAGCCCGGCCTGACCTTCTGATCAATGCGCTCCTATTAGAGCTGGCAGGCTAGAGACCAGCCACTCTTTCTGCAGACTAATAAAGATGCACAGAGAGCAGCTCCTGGCCTGGACTGCCAATACTTTTAGCACCGACATCGATCCTCATTACTGTTAATGGTTTCTTCGCAACTTTAAACCAGATGTTTAGGAGGATGTGAGTGGGCATGGGTACACTCAGAGATTAGGCTCAGGGCAGTTTCATCATAATATGATCCTGGTTAGCGGAATGACTTGAACAGTGTCAGTTTTCAGTGTGTTGCCCATCTGGAAAACACACAAGATATAAAATCAGGATAATGTGAAATCAGTGCGTTTTGCAATACTCTTCATTAGACTTGTCGGAACTCTTGCAATTCTGCCAACATCTCCTGTTTGTTTAACGATTGAAATAGGTAGCTAAAGTAGCTACAGATTGGTTTGAGCAAAACCAAACAAAAAATCTGATAACTTTAACAAAGTGAAGGCTAAATGAAATGAAGTGAAACGAAAATGACAATCCACTGTAATTACCAGGCTTTATCAGCAGCATAGAAAAACACCACACCAGTTTCTTTCAGCAAAAAAAGCACACCTATTTATACTCTTGTTGTTGTATTTGCCTACTGGATGTCTTCAATTCAACAACTCCCAGACGTGTCTTTTCTTTACTAATACAAAGAACATGAACAGCCTGTTTAATCAATCACATCCACTCCATCTTTCACTCTTTGGAGATTGAACCACTGCTTTAGGCAACAAGGAAGAAGAAAAATATGTTGCATACTTTTAATCCCTTAAGGCGATCAGCTTCTATAGAAGCTATAGCGGCTGTGATGCTGTTGTTCTCACTCCTTTACGCTGCAGTAATTAGCCCTACCAACTTTAGTGGCCTATCGAGGTGAGTCTTACATTCATTCTGTGGCTTTAATTAGTGAGCAGACTCCATGGTAATGTTTCTTTGGGGTTATATGAAGATTTGTATTTGTGTTTTATTTTTGCTTACCTTAGGACAATTCATGAGCAGCCTGCATGAGTTTTTGTTCTAATTTAAATGTTATGGGATTACAGCAATATTGTCTGCTCATCAATTCAGCATTCAGCTCTGCATAAGATATATTCACGCAGACAATTTGCACCGTGGCAAAACAATGCAAGGGGTTGTTAAAATGTGGGTATTTTGCTTCAGGGTGCAGGTAAAGAAGATTACATACAAACAACAGGATGCCTGGGATAATTTAAAATGGAAAGACAGCAGTTTGTGTACCTCTCTGATCCTATATATTGTGAGGCTCTTGAAAGTTAATCAGAGCAGTACTAACTTTCTCCTCCATCTCAAGGCCGGCCAGGTATGCAAAATAAATAGTAAAATGCTGTAATATCTACACCAGAAGATATTTTCACTTTGATGGGTTCTTCTCATTGAATTACTTGGAACAATTAAACTTCGGGCCGCAGGATAATTTCTAATTACTATTAGATCTGGCCCGCCGATATATTGCACGCACACCTTCACTCAACCCTGAGGGTTTCCTCCGCTCAGAGCCTGAGCCCAAACATTGATGAACTTGCACCCAAGATGAGATGCCAAGTATCTGCTTGAACTAGCATCACAGAGCAGCACACTGAGTTTAATGGATGTTTCCTTCTGCACTTTTTTTATTGCGACAACAGGGCATGTTTGGTTTGTTCTTTGAGGGAAATAGTTTTTTTGAAGCTGTTGTTGGCCTGTGGGAAAATGTGATCATAAGAAATGACTTTTTATAGGCAATAATTTAAGCTTTGTTAGTTCCTGGTTTAATATGTGCAATAAGTTCATTTCAATAAGTTTTGCAATAAACATTGAACCAGTCCGGCCCTCGACTAGTACCCATTTTTGATTTTGGCCCACTGTGTATTTGAGTTTGACACCCCTGCTCTAACGCATACTGAGAATCATATGTTTTGTAGCCGTGTTGGCTTCATTTTCTACATTTGTGTTCTGCAGCATGAAAGATGAAGCCGAACTACAGCAACTTCCTCTATGCCTGGGAGAAGTGGACTGGGACTTCACAGAATCCGTATAACTGCATCAACACAGGTACGATCTCAATGTCAACAACAACACCCATACTGTTCAAATTTGAGTCAAAAGTATTCACCGCTACGTAATAGTGTATTTTTCATCAACCCTTTATGTTTTTTTTAAGCAAGTCTCAAAGGAGAAGTTTTTTTTAAATCCATCTTTTTCACTATGTTCTTTTAATCTTCTTTCCACTACTTCCAATAATTGTTGTGTCAATTGAACACTTTAACGTGTTAATTAGCCTTACAACAATAACAGGAAACCAGTTTGAAAAAAAACTAAATCCTTTGTGGGTTGAGTGACCAGCTCAAATCAAATCTGTCCTTGAAATACATTCAGTGCCATTCTGCTGTAAAAGTTTGTGTTGCTTTGTTATTTTTTGTTATTCCTTTACATGTAAATTGATGTGACCCAAGAGTTTCTCCAAAATGAGATGTCGTTATGTTTTCATTTCTTTATTTTTTTGTGGAAGATTGAAGAGATGTCCTTCGCTACAGAAGTAAAAGGAGGTAAAACAGTGCTTAAAGTATTTTGCCTGCAGGATATCTACAGTTCTTTGCTCAGGTGTTGCCTGCCTATTAATACTGGAATCTGCCTTCAGATTCAGCCGCAGATAACAGCGGCGCTATCTCCTCTAATTGCCCGTTGCCTAAGAACAACTAACTACTGGAGATGTGCGCTGCATGTCAAATCGTTTCCCCCCCCCAACCAGATTCTGTGTCTGCTTCCGGGGACATGCTCATTTGAATATACTGCAGTGTATTTTTCTGTCCATTCCATAATTATCTAACCTCTGTTTTAATTGAGCAATTAAAACATTTAGCCCAATAACAACTCTCTTAATATAAACTAATTAAACAATGCATGGTCAGGATTGCTGAACAACAATCTCTAGAGGGACTCTGATTTGGCATTTAAATGACCATTTAAATGACCATTTAAATGACCATTTAAATGAAATTGTAATTGAACTGGCAGTACTGCTTCATT